GCGGGGGCGGGGCGGGGCGACATCTCATAACCTTAAAAAGGACTATATTAATCACTTCTTTGTAATCCCTTCACAGTCCCAGGTTTAGTGAAAAACTGCTGTAAACACAGGGGACACAGTTTAACAATGCAACTTTTAATGACTGTTTTTTTTTTCCTTAACCTACTAATAGTTTGTTGATCTGATAAGCAAGAGTTGGGTGGGTAAGAAAGACTCTGAGTTGGGATTAGTCAATCACTGCACTGCATTTAACAAGAAACGCGCCACGCCAGTGATCTGTGACGCGGGGCGTTCATATAGGAAAAGCGAACAGCGCGGTGTGGGACCCCCGCGTGGGTCTCAGACATCACCCCCACCCCGGCTCGCAATAGTCAACCCTCTGTTTAGAACACCAAAGATAAGAACTAGATGCTATTCTCTTCTTTTCGTATAATCTCGTAGACACTTGATTTTTAACTTTTTTTTTAATTTCTAAGTGAGACGAAATGCTGATGTATCCTTTCATTCAGTTATCAAACCAGAAAAGGTTGCATTCATTTTTTCAAAAAGGAAAGTAAGCAAATAAATGTTGCCAACTCCTATATTTATGGATATCACACATATCAGCAGAAGGAATAAATATACTCACAGCACTCTGTTTTTCAGGACAACACTTCAGTTTTCAGAAAACCTACTTCCTACAGAGCCAAATGCCCTTTAGCAATAAATAACACTTGTCAGCCTCAAAGCATTTAAAGAAGCTAGACAGGCAAACGATCCTCTCTGTGATTTAGTGAAAAGGTACAACAGAATAATGCATGATAAACTCACCTGAATGATCAGGTGGGGATACGCGAAATCTAAATTTCTTTGCTATAGTTAAATGATAATTTTAAAAGCTCTCTTGCTCGCCCTCCTCCCTCCCTTCCTCTCCCCTCTTTCTCTGCCCGCTTCCTCAGTCCCTCTCTCTTCCCCCCTCCCTCCCTCCCTGTCTTTCTCTCTCCCTCTCTCCATTGGGTAACAGTTTCGTAACAGTTTCGGTGAAAGACCTAAATATCACTTACCTCAAGCTAAGCCTATATGTTACTTCAAGTAATACATTTTGACATAAGATGGTTGACCGAGGTGCTTTACTTTAGTTTCCGTTCGCCATCTCTTCATTCAAACTGCACTTTTAGCCAGAGATGCAATATTCCCACTATTCAATACTACCTCTGAATGTTACAATGAATTTACAGTCTCGTACTTATTACGTGCTGCTATACACAAGCAATGCAAGATAAATAACTTACTGGGTAGGTGATGCCAATCACCTGCAGTTCTTTTTGTACACTTCATTACAGTTAAAGAAACAATCTCTTTATTCTGTTTCAGCATGGCTATGTATTTTTCTATGATTTTTAATTAAAATTTTACAAATATTTGTTTCAGCTTCTCTGCTAGATTTCTACATTAACTTGAACATTTTTTTTAACCAGTCACTCCTAGGTTCAAGGATAATTTTCCTTACACTACACACCACACACACACAATTTGACTGTAATGCTTAATTACCCTCTAAGTCTGTACCTCAAATGAATTGTTTAAGGAAACAAATTAATTGACTTGCAAAGACCTACCTCCAGACGTCAAAAAGAATGAACTTGTTATTTGCAGCGTTCATTTTTTTCTCTCTAATGTTTGAAATGGCTCAAACTTCAGCTATCCCTAATCAAAACTATTTTTGTAAGGCATTTGATAGAAAGGAACACATTTTTACATACTTTTGCAAAAATAAGTAAGTAAAATGAAGCCAACCTTCAAAGAAACTTGAAGCTTTGTAGGTGAGATGCAACAAGCTCAGCTTTTGCCTAATGCAATCAAAATATGTGTTTTTAAAGATTAGTTGAATATAAGAAAATGCTTGACAGATATTTTCATGTATTTACACAAATGTGATTTTTGTAATATGTCTCAACCAGATTTATTTTGAACACTTCTTATGTAGAGTATTTTATGCCTTTCTCTCCTAGTGAGTGTGCTGACTTTTTAACATGATATTATCCACTGGGCCAGGAGGTAGTTTCTCACAACGGCTTGTGTCAGTATGACTTTTAGTACTGAAGCCAAATGAAACTCAAAACCATTTCTCTTCCAGCCACTTCAGGGAGGTAATTTCAAAGGCCACATACCTCTCTGAGACTGGCAGGTCGCTCACTGTTGTGAATCACCAAAGGAGCTATGGAGAGAATTAAAACTCAACATGACTGTTAACTGTGCATTAAATAAGCAAATAAACAGTGGCTCATAAAAATAAAAGTCCCATTTCATATCTTTGGATGGGCCTTTTAGAAACCTCATTGGCCAGCTCATAAAAATGAAGCAGTTGCTCATGTTGGCCAAACTCTGAGCACTGAGCAATTTCCATCTCTGATGAAGTTACTCTCTTATTTCCTGTATGTTGTACAATCAAAACACGCTACTACCTCTTAAGTCCCAGTATACCTCATTTTTCATACTGAAAAAAAAAAGCTGTGGCCAATGGAACAGTAAGAACATCATAAAATTTTATATATATAGTTTATTTTTGTGGGAGATAAATTTTATAGGACTGTTCTTTGCTGTTGTTGGTCCCAGCTAAGTAAGACTGGACATTTAACTTTTCTACCATTTCTGCAAGTTAGGTATGTTTGCAGGAAAAAAGTATCAAGACGTTTAACTGCAGTTGACTTTCTCTCTGATCCTTTGAGTGTCTTCTAACTTTATTCTTTGTTCTTCATGTAGAATTGCTGTCTATGATTGTACTTTGAATCGCTTGCTTGTTGAAAATATTTCTCTAGTGGATTATCACTGTCTGTTCTGCACAATAAACATAACAGCCTCTGTGATCCCCATGTGTTTTGATTCCTACTTTTTGTTACAATACCATTAAATAAACAATAAAGTTTGGTTAAAATAGGTCAAGGTGGGGACGTTCACAAGTCCTTTTATTCTACCTCTTGCAGAGTATGTGGCCACACTTCTGCATACACAACAGGAAATGTGTTTTTAAATTTCATACCCTTAAATCAACTGTCCTACACTCACTTTGAAGAGTCTGACATTGAATTCCAGAGAAAACCTTGAAAGAACAGGCTGAAGTTTAAAACTACAGAATCTTTTCTTAGGGTAGACATATATAAAGTCTGTAAGGGAAGCAACTGACACTCAAGTTATATTTGAGGTAACATTTGGAGGACACAGATAGTTGGTAAAGATTAAAAAATGAAAACCACACTTTCTCTTGAATGAGAATCTTATAATTCTATAAGAACCATTAGCAGGGCCAGAGTCATTCTTAATCTCTGGTTTATGCTTCCACCATGGTTATTGAAACTCTTCCTTTTTTTAGCTTCTTAGCAGGGCAGATTTGTTTTTAGGAAGAATGTGCTCGTACTAAGATGAGTAGGATAAAATTTTTACTGTATTTTAAAGATGATACTAAATGATCTCTAAATCAGGTTTTGAATTATGATAGCTCTGCTTGGGCACAGTGAGTAGCGCACTTACAAAAGTTACACAAAGATACCTTAACAATTTACATATAGGTTTGAGGAGCATTTACAAAAGAAGTCAGTCAATGCACTCAAATAACAGTGAAGCCCTTAATATATGCACTGGATCTTGTTTGGAGGAATAAGAGTAAATGGGACTCCATGCCTGCCCATAAAGAACCAAAATTTCTGGTGGCGAGCTGGACCCAAAAGAGATCTTTATAAATTGACTGCATTACTTTCAAATTTGAATATTGCCTGAATCCCCTACCATGACCAGGAACAAACTGCAAGCCTTCTCAGAAAAGGAGGTTATGGTCACCATCAGAGAGATCCCGGGGCTGCATAGAAATGAATTGCAGTCAATATAGCATTTCACATGGCAATGTAAGGAGGAGATTTATTTTTCAACAGGGCCAATGTTACTCAATTCTTGTAAGTTGAGGCAGGGTTTAGCAGTATAGGGAGAAATCAGAACTAAAGAATGAGCAATGCTTCAGCCAACGGACATATGATGTAAACTCAGATTGTAATGAAAATTCAGAGAAGTAAAGAATAAGAAGCCTAAGAGCAGAGCACGAGGCAGAATAGGTGTGCTTCTTTTCAAGATTTATTTACATGACATGGCTTATTATTGAACAAGACTGATTCTTAGAGTTAGTTAAGGTCAATCTTGAGCAATTACTCTTCCAATTTAGGAAATCTGGCCTTACAAGGGGAAAAAATACTGAAAATAAACAAAATTGCTTTTAAATATATATTATGCAGATGGATAACAACAAGAGAGCCAAAAAGCAACAGCAGAGATCTACACCTCTAGTCTGAGTTTAGCCATCTGTTAAAGTTGTCAATCTGCTGCTCTCCTCCTGAAGTAGGTGGGAAATGGCTGTGGATATGACCTTTGGCATTCAGGATTCCACCATTCTGTGCCAGCCCTGCCTTAGTTCTCTTCTCATACAAAGACCCAGGTACCGCCAATGGGAAACAGCCTGCTTTCAGTGAGCCAACACCCAACTTTATATCTAGTTTACAGTAGTTGGGCTCTTGTTTTCTGACCTTAAACCTGGTTTAACACTTTGGTGATCTACCTCTTCCCCACTCCTACCAAGATAGCGCTCATCTTACACCAGCTTTCAGGGCCCTAAGTCTTTCCCCTGTACTCTACCAACCCAGGGCCTAACCCCTGAAACCTATTTGTCCCACCTCCTTATCTGATTACCTATTTTCTCACTGAAGCTTCACCTGTCTTGAAGCTGCCTTTGTCTTGTATCAAGCATGCATTCTTAGGAACATTGAATAGCAATCTCAGAGAATCATGGGACACCTATCTTGAAAGAAATTTGCCATGGAAAACAGTGGTAAATGAGGACCACTAGTAATAG